ATGAGATATGGAGAGGAGCAACGTTCCAAACTGAGGTTGGGTTTTTGAAGATGTGTTTTATCCATGTGATTTTAAATGTGTTATTTATGTATCAGAGTGCAAAAAATTAAGACCACCATTCTCATACAAAGTCATAATAACGGACTTCTTCAGATAGTGGGTTCTGTTTTTCCAGACAAAGTTAAAGAGCTTTTAATCACTTACTTTTAATGTCTCTTCGTTGAGGTGCAGCGTCAAAGCTGCATATGTTGACCTTGAGATGCCTTCGTGAGCAAAATTCTTCTTTTCAAAGATAAATCTCGTAGGAGCCATTAATAATCAGGTCTCTCGTAAATGAGTCCCCGAGGCTCAGTGGGATTAACCTGAATAAATAAAGGTTGAATGAATGAATGATTTAATTAATTTTGGGATTTGTGTAAAACTGGGTTAAAGTTCGAGGTGCTCCTTCTGTTTTGATCTTTTGTTACTAAAACACCTCGATAACGCACTTCCTCTTTTACAGGGATGTTGCATAGCACAGATTTAGTACAGCTTTAATAGACATAATCTCACATTTCTTAATATTGAAGGCTAAACCAGATGCCCTTGAACTCCTGAATTGTATTAATTGCTGCAGAAATTTGGCTTTCTCAAAAAAAGTGTGGTGTCTTCTGCTAGTTGTGTTAAAATGAGCTTATTACCAAGGAGAGAGATGCCTTCTGTTTTCATTCAACCTTTATTTATACAGGTTAATCCCACTGAGCCTCAGGGACTCATTTACACTGTTTTGAATATGAGATGCTCTAAATTGTGCCCCTAGCAGAAAGAGAAGCAGGGCAGGCTGGTCGGTCTTATTCCCCGGAGAGATTGAATCTGGGTGATGTGCTGCCTGGCAGTTTAATAGAGCTATTGCTCTTCTTATAGAGTGTATTTATAGCAGAGGAAAAGTAGTGGCCAAAGCCAAATTAATTTAATGATTGTAAGATGAGCTGGTGCTCGACTGTATCCAAGGCCTTCTAGAACATCTAAGAACAAAATATAAACATTAACATCTTAAATATCTGAGCAATCCAAAATATCCATAACTAGCCTAACGTTGTGTGTCATGTATCTTTTGGACATAAACCCAGACTGTGCATGTTCAATTATTGAATCCAAAACTCTTTTCAGTCTTCTAGCAAAGACTGATGCAAACATTTTGTAGTAGTCAGTGTTTCCTCTAGTGTACTTGCCTTAGCACTGACACTGAGTAGTTCTTGTTTGTTTGTTCTTTGTTTTTAGTGAGTCAAATCGGTTCTTCTCATCCTGAGCATTTCATTGTACTGTTAACCTTGTGTTAACATTGTGTTAACCTTGTGTTAACCTTGTGT